CACTGCTCTTTCCAGTAGCAAGTATGACAGGGCCAGACCCATATCCACAGGAACCTCACCATCCCAGTACATGCCCACAGTATGCTCTTGGGCTGGGAGCTCCTCTCACTGCTGTACAGCAGCCAGGAGTGGAGGCAGGCACAGCATTCAGTCAGTGACAGATAGGAGCTAAGGAATAAACTCCTCTCTTTCCTGCTTCCAGGTGTGAGGACACTGAGGTGTGTGTGACACAGTCTTCCAAGGTTCCCCGATGGGACTGAGCTCCAGTTGCTCAGAGTGGTAACCTACTCAGTCACACACTACTGGCCTTGTGACTTTCTCTCTCCTCTATCTGAGCTTCCTGGGACCACCTCCCAAATAATCCACCTACATTCCAATCCTTATCTCAGGATCTGCTTCCAGGAGATTCCAACCTAGGAATTCCAACCTAAGTTATTTCCTCTTTAAATATGGACACTTCAGGAGAGTCTTATGACTCCTTTCCCATTGCCATGATGTTTATTTCAATTGTGTGTCTCCTCCATGACACACAATTGCTTTACCCCTTGGAGATGAGCCTGGGCCTCACAGTGGCTGCCTTGGTCTTATGCAAACTGCTCAGATCCCGGGAGCTGCAGTCTGTCTTCTGGGAGTGGAAACCTTCCCATCATGAAACATGGGGGCGTCTTCCCTGTCTGGTGCCTCCCCCGCAGCGGGACTGCTCCCAACCCCAGCTCCACCACCTTTCCCGACGCGGCTCCAACACGGCTCCAACATGGCACCGGGTGCACAACTGTCTTCTCACTTGGAAGTTCTTCTTCAGTAGAGCTTTCGGGTATTTCTTCTGCCCTACCAAGTCAACTCAAGCAGATGCTCCTTTTATTGGAAACATGAGCAGTTCAGAGACAGGCACTCCACTATCCTTGGCTCACCTGACATAGCTGGAATATTGAGACCATTTCACTCTCTCCCAAGGTTAGGTACAAATGCAGCATCTAAATGGGTAACTGAAATATTTTGCATGATGTGGCCAGGCTGTTTTTACTGGATCAGGAATTTTTCCCAACTTTGGAAGAGAATTTCACCTGCACCACCCTAGATGGCAGGGCAGCAAGATAGCTAATAGCATGGACACCAAAGCCAAATGGTCTGGTTTTGAGTTTTGGCTCTGCCTCACTGTGTAGTCTTAGGCAAGTTAATTAACCTCTCTGAGCCCTCCCATGAATGAAGGTAACAACAGCATCTACTTCCAGGATTGTTGAGAAGATCAAATGAGCTGATGAATATAAAGTGCTTCATGTAGAAGCTGGCACAGCATAAGTGTGCAATGATCATTACCCATTGTTACTATTAGTATCAGAAGTGCAAGGAACAACCTACATAACCATTTCTCCACGTGACCCTTGCAGGAAGGTTTAAAATAGTGAAGTGGAACTCCCCAATTTGAACTTTAGCCCTATGATGAAATTCCCTGGTCCTCCACAGCTCTCCAGCCAGGCCTAGCACAGTATAATCCTGCTGTGAAGTATCCAGTTCACTTCTACTTTTAGTAGAATATGTTTCACAGTATAATAGTTCAAAGAAACTTCACAACACCTACCCCAAAATTTATACTCTCGTTCACAATTGCTATCTCCATCTCTCTTGGTACATACGATTTGATGTATTTTTATGTATATTCTTTAGTCACTGCTCCTAAGAAAAACTGAGCAACTAGAACATGCCCATGCCTAAAGACTAACAGAATTAGAGTTTACCCCCAAAACAACAACAAAAAAATGCAATGTATAATAGAGGAAAAGGATTATTAAATTATAGTAAAATCTGTGTGGATTCAAATGGGGGCTTGAACTTTGTCTTTTTGCTGTTAACCAAAAAACAAAATTTTACTAAGTAAACTAATACTGGCAACGAGCTTGGGGAATGAGTAGACCAATTACTAATTCTCTTAAGAGAACACATGACCCTGAAGAGTAGGCCACTGGATGCATGAAGACTCTGGATGTCTTATGAAACTGAGCTAGAGTTTTACCTTGAGAAGATGGACAACCACTACTTCATGACTTTTCTTAGTAGAGTATCCAAGTTACTGCTACAGTTGAAAGGTACACAACCATTTAAAAGACATATCTTCTTGTAATTCAGAATTATCACTAATTTGATAAATCCTCTCCCTCTCATTAGTGCTTTCCACTTCATTGGCAACCCCAATTTCAGCTCCTAACTCTTCCTGTCTGAACCAACCCTGACTTCTTCAGTTCTACCAACTCCTTCCTCCAGTTCCTCCTGCACAGCACCACCAGCCTCATCTTCTTGCAGCTGCACACTGGTGATGACACTGCTCTGTCCACAAGTTCTGCTTTCACCTGCCCCAACACACACAGACACACATATATACTCCCACGTACATGCACACACGATTCCAGGAGGAAATCTCAATCCTTAACCCGGTAGTTATAAAAATTAACTGCCAGTCCCTGAAGACCGACAACCCTGAGAACAGAGACAAATTCATTTGACTGTCTAAAGAAGAGATGTGTGGGTTTCCACTGGAAAAGAAAATGTAACTCATATAAGGAATTGTTCTCAAAATAGTATATAAGGAGGATTAACTAATTCATCATTTTACTGAAATGTATTCAGTTCCATAATGTAACTTTCCAAGCTCATTGTCTACCACTTCCCTACAAGAACATTCGACGTTAGCCAGGCTGAACAACCAACCACTGGGCTTTCCTGCTTCTGCTCCTTCACTCATAACATCTCCGAACCTTAGAATGTCTACCATATTCCCATTGACTGACATCCTTCCCATCCTGCACACTAGTTCAAACACCACCTCCTCCACCAAGCCTTGCGCCACTCATGTCAGTGGAAGCAAACCTTTTTTCTTCATGCAGCACATGCCTACCCCATGTCACTGGTATTTATCACATACTATCCTGTGCCTTAGAAAGGACATCTCCTTGAAGGTCAACACTGTGGAATTCATAGGGGGACCTACTGTGGCTTCTCACACAAATCTCTTGCTCAGAACCTACTTATTGACTTCAACCAGTGACACTATAGTGTGTACTTCCGGCCAGTCCCTGAAGACAGACAACTCTGGGAACGGAGACGAATTCATCTGACTCTCTAAAGAAGAGATGTGTGGGTTTCCACTGGGAAAAAAAAAATGTAACTCATATGATAAGGAATTGTTCTGGAATTAGTATATAAGAAGGATTAACTAACTCATTATTTTACTGAAATGTATCTAGCTTTCAATTGATGGAACATCAATAGGAAATTGAAAAAGGCAAGATATAAATTTCTTAAAATGTGACCTAATTGATTCCTACATATAGTCAATAATCAAAGCTTTTAGGGAGATGACACCTTTCTATATAAAGGGAAATACTTCTCTTCTAATTATTATATGTAACATCTTCAAGGGGTTGTCAGCTGTATGCCTCTTGTCCTAATTTTAAATATAACTTAAAAGGAGACTACATAACTGTATGTAAGGTAAAGAATCAGTAGTGCAAATAGAAAAAAAAAAGTCTCCCGTTTTACTTAAGTACCATTGACACTGCCATACTAAGAATGTGTTTATCAGGAATGGCATAGAAAGAACAAAACAGTTTATAGATTAAAAACACGTCAATTATTTCATGACCCAATGTCAAACAGAAAAACTGCCTGAACGGTTTAGAAGTCTATCACATCATACCATGTTTAGCGTACATCTAATGGCACAGAAATCATTTATCATTAAAGGCCTTTTTATATAGGTCAAGGTTGCTGGGACTTGGTGTTTTGTATCTTACAGTTTAAAGAATGCTCTAAATTCTAGGTTTTTTAACTTTTTAATCTTTGGGAAGGAAAACTAAAACTTCCTATAAACTCAGATTAATGCCTGCTAATGCATGGAAAAAAGGAAAACTAAAACCTTCCTCCTACTATAAAAACAAAATAGTGTGGCCTCTGTTTCTTTTCTGATAAGAGTCTTAAATACCAAACAGTTAACTGCATAATAACATTTACTGGCAGCCAGGCAGCCTGCTTAGCAGATATATAAAGCAGGTAAAAGGAGAAAAAGTTAATTTCTTGGCTGAATGATTCCATCGGTAGCTATAGGGCAAACCTGAAAGTCTTTTAGTAAAGTAGCAGTTGGGTCTTCTATCAATCTGTAGCACACATACTCTTCCAAGGAAAGCATTAAATATGAAAATCATATCCCGTTATCATCGGTTTCCAGCTTTCAGCCCAGTAAGCTTTTCTTAATGAATGCTGCAGCCTAAGGAACAAGCACGCTGTTGGCTTCTCTGAATAATGGAGTGATGCTACCATTTTTGCTTATTACAATATCGACTGGCTGAGGGGGTTTCACACATAGTCACAAGTGACTACTCTTGCCAGCATGCTCCAAGTTATTACAAGATGTTTTTAGACATTTCATCTAAAAGAGCTTTACTGCTTTTAGTGAAGAAAACATCTATGGTCTTGAACAGAATCATTTATATGGAGATAGGCTGCAGGATTAGAAGCCTGCATTATGGCAGATACATAGCAGAATTTATTTAAGTATTCCTTGCCAGTCTTTTTGTCTGTTGCTTAGATATGCAATCTTTTCTTTCCACTTCCTCTGTAAAAAGGTTAAAATGTACAAAATTATATATACAAAGAAGAGAAGCAAAAGGCCGTATTTTGTTTACCTTTTACTTAAAACATTTCTGGAACTAAGAAAAAAAAAAAGCGGCTACAAAGCATTATTTAGACAAACATAATTTCACCCGCTAACGCCTCTAAGGTTTTCTTGAGAATCTGTCTCTTTTAAACCTGCCTGTGACGGCCTTTCAGCACATTTAATTGAATTAGACATTAAAGCAATACTCTATAAGGAAAAGTCTTTAAATAATACTTAAGGGTTAATCAAAAAGATCTTTTCAATGAGATGATTTTATTTAAAACACTATTGTAAAAGAGGAATACTCCAGAAATCCTCTGTCAACAGAAGGTTTATTATCTTAATTTATTACCTTTCCTCTGTCTTCATCTTCCAGTTTGCCTCTTGTTCCCAGGCTCTCTTTTGACAGTAGCTGCATCTTCTTCATTTGAGCCTCATATTCGTTCTAAACATAAACAAGGTTTTGATTTTTTGGTGGCTCTTATGACAACCAGCACCCGTCTATATTTTTCAGTCTTTAGAGCATAAAAAGAACACTGAAGTAGAAAGTAAAAGCTGATGTTGCCAAGAAATTCAACTTCTCTTAGAAAATAGATGATTTCACAAATAAAATGTCAAAAGCTGAGTTCTATAAAATGCTCTATTTTTTAATGCATTTTTATTTAACTCCCCCCCCCCGCAAAACATTTAATTAACATACAATATATTATTTGTTTCAGGGGAAAAATGCTTATTTTAAATAAGATTTGATGGATTCTCACTGTCTTTCATCAACATAGGGAATAAAACCTTGGAACATTAAGCACTCAGGAAAATCCAGTTACTTTACTATGAAAGCAACACATTGGACAGTGTCTACTCTGAAAACTTTTGTCCTAAAGGAAAAGAAATCAATCCTACTGACTTCTTATCTGTATGATATCTACATTAGTATCATGATGCTACTATGATATACTATTTGCTAGATCATTGACTTGAAACGAATTCCATTTTCTATGAATAAAGATATATAGTAGACATCAGAGATCAGCACCATAGGGATGATGTTTGCTCTGGCACTAATAACTACATAAAGATGTCTGCTTCATTATCGCACTATAATTGATGAAAGTGATTCCATCATAAAATGACTTTTTCTTAAAAGCAAGGCATAAAAGGTGCTTTGATTCAGTATGTTAGTAGCTAAAACCTTAAGAAATTCACTAATGGTGGTCCATCACAGATAAGTATCAGAACATTTTCTAAATTAGGCCATGATGCACTGCAATTAGAAATACACCTATGGGAGAGAAAAAAGAAATACACCTATGAGATAATCAAATCAGAAAACTGTTTCCTTAGTTCTCAGTCTGAACATGAAATTGGCCTCAGCTTTGTTCTGACATACAAAAAAACAGTGATGAAAATTGATTTGTTTCCCTCAAATTATCTTAAAGGGTATTATATGCTGCCCATTTTTAATAACAGTGAAGCAGGGAATTTTTTTCTCTCTCAGAATATTAACATGATAGATGAAGGTAATGATCTAAAGAGATTCCTAATTAAATAAAAGTTTTATAAGGCCAGTACACACAACAAACCAAGAAAAGAGATAAGGCAATTAAGATAATATAATTTACATCTCTCTGTTCTATATCTACCCCTTTGGACTCAGAGATATTTACTTTTTAACCCCAAAAGCTTTCAAAAGGCATACTTTACAGATTCTAAGGGAAAGTATCCTTATAAAGGGATGGGGTAGATTATGAAATAAACAAAATAAACATTGAGTTTTATTAAATAATTAGAGGTTAAACACAAATTCTTCATTCCTGTGGCTGCAAATATTCTCTTAGGTTCTTTGAGATCAGTTATAAACATGCAACAGGCATTGTATCTGATTTCCTCATTATGGGATCATTTCAGAGCCACACCTTCCAAAGACAGAGTACTTTCTCATGGAAACATGTGAGCTTTGTTTAATTCATTTTGCTGCAGCAAAAACTGATAACTGCATTAGGGCTTTATAAAGAACAGTAAGGAAAGTCTCTTCACTAGTCCAATTTAGACTGTTCTCAGTGCATCCAAAAAATTTACTGGGAATTGTACGTACTTTTCTAAATTAGTGAGCAAATAAAAACCGAACAATGTATTTGAAATTAAAAGTTGCTATAGGGGCGCCTGGGTGGCTCAGTTGTTAAGCGTCTGCCTTCAGCTCAGGTCATGATCAAGCCCCACATCGGGCTCCCTGCTCAGCGGGAAGCCTGCTTCTCCCTCTCCCACTTCCCCTGCTTGTGTTCCCTCTCTCGCTGTGTCTCTCTCTGTCAAATAAATAAATAAAATATAAAAAAAAAGGTTGCTATAAAAATCGAACAATGTATTTGAAATCAAAAGTTGCTATAAGTGGATAATTGATACAAACTATAATTCTACATCCCCTAGGACCACAGACTTGCACCTACAAATGCTCTCTTTCTTTTCCTTTTATTTATACATAGGACACTTGGTTACCATCCATCAAATCCACCTTCTGAACACTGGAGAGCAAGGGTTTTCAACCCCCACCTCCTATTCTATCTGCATATAAATGAAGGGTTGTACTATGTTTAAAAGTTTTTGAACTTTGGAAAACTGTATAGATGAACCTTTCCACAACTTCCACAGCTAACAATGTCTGATGAGACAGCAGAGCACGCGTCCCAGTTTCCCAACCATCAGTCTTTCGTGTTTTATTCCCCATTTCTTCTCTGATCAGGTCTCATTATATTTCCACAATACATCAGGGCTTATATTGCATCCTTTCTGTCTGGTGCTGACTCAGGTCCCTGTTCCCTCCTTTTTGTGGCCTAGATTCCTCACTGTCAGGTTTGCTGCTTTGGGAGCCAAAGTTCTTATGTCCCGGTAGCATCTCCAATCCATAGCCTCTCTAAGGACAGTCCTTTCTTCCCCCAACTCCCCTAGGGAAATCTGTTTTAATAAACCAAAGAGCATAGAATCAATCCATCAGGTAACTTGTTCTGTCCGTTACCATCTTGCTTCACAGCACTGGGCTGGATGCTGCCCACCTACATTTAGGAGGACTCTTCTATTCACTTCCTTACTATGCGTAAACCATTTCATCTCGGCTCAACTGATGAAATTTGTTGATGATGGTTTCAGGTGGTGGGAAGAGGAGATGGAGGTCCTGGCGGGTCTTTCAGGTCTCTAAGATATCTCTCCATGCTCATGACACGTCTCATTTTCCATTCTTTCCTTCTTTTCTTCTGTATTCCCACTTAGATTCCTTCAGTTTCCCCTCATCACATTAGCACTTGCCTGAAAGTGTCACCACTACCTTTTATTTAAACAGGCTTCCTTTTTTCAGTGGTCTTTGGGATTATATAAACATTCTCAGTTACAGAACTGAACATTTAAAATCTACTGGCCCAGCCTCCTCATGTTGGAGTTGAAAAGATGGGTACAGAGAGTTACATAAACTGTCTGATTTGACCCTCAGGGCTACAGTTCACAATCTTTTGTTTTCTCTTCTATTTCTTCCAGTATACAGGTTTCCTCTTAAATGCTGAGTTTTTACAAAAAGGTATGGAAAACACTTACTTATATGCAACTAATGCATATTAACAAGACACTCTTATCCTAAAAAATAGGATAAGCTACAGACTGTCTTCCAGGAGCCTGAAGGCCATGCCCTGTCCACAGTGGCTTCACAACGCTCAGTAGAAACTGAATGAGAACTCAAAGATTTGTTCTCTTCAAATTTTATCCCCAGTAGGCACATATCACCTAAGAACTGAATTTTTAACAAGAATCACATCTTTAAATGGTGACATTATATCTTTAGAATGCCTCTGCTATTAAACAGAAATGCTCCTGGGAAGGTATAACACAGGATAGAACCAATACCACATTAGCTCTCCCACAGTTGTCTGTGGTCCATAAGAGAGAAAGATGAAAAATATGGAAGAGTCAATTTTCAGTCGGTGGGGGAGTCTCAATGCTTACTGAGTGCTTCAAGACTACGGAAGTGTTCCTCAACGCTGAGTGCTTATTATATGCCACATTCTGGGTCAGATACTGACAGCATTGAAATAAGATGAGGAGCCCACAGTGAGGTGGGAAAACATGTAAACAATCCCACGAAGAAAGTGCTTACAGAGATAATTATGGCACAGACCTAAGGCAGGACAGAGGGAAAGACTCCGTCTACTTGAAGAAGATAGGAGATAATGCAGTGCTTTCAAGGAAATACAGTGTTCAGCATGTTTAAAATTCAGTGGGTGTGTGTGAGTATATGTGTGTGTGAGAGAGAGAATGCGCACATGTGTGGGAGATAAAGATGGAGAGGGATGGGGGAAGGCATGGGGGTGTGGGAATATTGCATGAGGGGGTACGGAGGAGACAGGGGTGAGGAGAGCTGGGGGTGGGGAGAGGGAGCGAGCAGAGATAGGAGGCAGAGATGGGGACAGAGGAAGGAGGTGGGGGGGGGCGCGTGGGGAAGAGAAAATCTGCACGTCTGTGTATTTGTGTGAGAGGGACAGTGAGAAGGAATGTGTTAACGTGTGCACATGCATGCATGTGTTAAGGGTCATAAGGCTGAACTGCGGGATGGTATGCAGGCAGAAAGCAGCATCTGGGTTTTGTCCTAAAAGGCTGAGCAAGCACTCAAGGCTTTCAGGCAGATAAGAGACATAACCAGATGATGATTCTCCTCAACTGAGGAATCCCCTTCGATGCCCTGACATGCCAGCCTCATGCCTGGCACTTGAACAGGGGAGGCTGAAACAGAGCTGGCCATGTTCCACACATGCCCCTGGGACCCTTTTGGGTGCTCCTAAGTCCCAGCATCTCTGTCTCTGTGCCCAAGGAGCTCACAGTTAATTTCCCCTCACTGCCTCTCTTTCCCATCAGTCTTCAATCAGTGATGTGAGTCACGAGCCATGTATGCATATTTCAAATGCTCTGAACCACTTTCCAGGGTTTCCCTGTGGGGTTAAGTTCCAGATGCCGACTATGGTAGTTGGCTTGGTGATACACCCTATGTCAGCCACCTGTCCTTCCCTGTCTCATCTGCCTACCTGCCTACTGACCCTCCCTGTACTTCCCAAACAAACCACTTACATTTGAATCCTTGTCTCAGGGTCCACTCCAGGAGAACCCAACTTGAGATAAGGTCAAAGGGCACCCAAGGAAAACTGCTCTAAGGACCAACTGGGGCTCTTCTACAAAAGCACTAATGCAGGGAGCAGGGTCTGGAGGGGGTGCAGAAAGAAGGAGAGAAGGACACGATCCTCACAACACTACTAATATTTACATGCTTGAATGGAGTTTAGTCAGCCTCTTTATCTGACAAATAGCAACACAGCCACAACACTGTATTTTCAAATCTACATGACAGATCAATAGTCTTTAAAAGCCCTGAAAATGATCACAGGTCCCCAAATAAAATAGTATAATTCATAAAATCAGTTGAAAGGGTATTTTTTTTAGCCTTTATCCCATTAAAAATATTTTAACATTATATAATAAAGTGGGCATAGTCCTACAAAGAGGGAAAAATGCACTTAATATAATTTGGGCCAAACGACAACTTCTTGCACATTGCTTCACTCCATTTCACTTTCTGGAACTCTACCAATTGTTAATTCATTTGCATTAGCTACAGTCTATTCAAGGGGAAATATCCCTGGCATTTTGGGGTGTGTGGGCAATACGCTCCATCAGAACACCTCTCTCCTAAAATTTACACGCAGTCAGCCAGCAGAGGAGGTAAAGATCTGATAGCTGAGTGGGGCGGGATTAAGAGGAAACAAGTTGTTCTGGCCTTCCTAAGACCACCACTGGACACCAGGACAAAAGGAAGAGGCAGAAATGAAGGGGAAGACAGCAGGGACAAACATTACCTTCTCTGAAACTCTGCTTACTACACAGTTTGCTGAGGTAAGTGGTGTCACTAGCTGGAGTTTGAAATATCACTACTTGGTTTCACGGGCACAGTTCAAGCATTCAGCTTTGGACTCAGGTGACTCCCAATGTAAAGTTCTCCATGGAACTCACATCTTTCCCATCTGTAGCTACATGGTCTGCTCTTCTATGCCATCACAGATTGTTTTCAAAAGGCATTCCTTACCCAAGACTCAACTGCTCTTTTTTGATTTGATTTGATTTTAAGATTTTATTTATTTATTTGACACAGAGAGAGAGAGACAGCGAGAGAGGGAACACAGGAGAGGGAGAAGCAGGCTCCCCACTGAGCAGGGAGCCCGATGTGGGGCTCGATCCCAGGACCCTGAGATCATGACCTGAGCCGAAGGCAGACGCTTACCCAACTGAGCCACCCAGGCGCCCCTCAACTGCTCTTGATATAAAAATACTTACAAAGGATCATTCTCCCTTTCAAATTCCTCCCTCTCACATTTGGCTATATTGTGAAATCAACAATTAAGTAAAGCATCAATGTAAAAATAAAAGGAAAACTTCTATTATTTCCTTTTTTCTGTTGGGGAAGGCAAAATTCCCTGCTTTGTCCACCACTTTCATTTTCTCTGTGGAATCTCTGAACAGCAAAGAGATTTACATTGTTGATACTAACAACTGCTTTTTGAATGTTAAGTATTCTAGTTGAATAGTAAGAGAAGAAAACCCGAAGTGCTGCAGCTAAAACTTGCTATTGCTTGAGCACATCTAACCTCCAGATCTTGGTTTCTAAATACCCTTCTCCACTAAAAGGAACCACAGCTCCTTGGAAAAGAGGCTAACTTCATGTCTGAGGCAGGGACATATCCGATACACCTGGCACACCTTGTGCCCCAAAGCAAAGAAGGCTCAGAATTAATGGGGTCAGGTCAAAAGGACACAGAAGCCAATTCGAAGAGACTCTCCCAGGCAAAATTTGGGAAAATATGAACAACAAAAAGAATAATTACAGTGATTGATAGTACACTGACTAAATAAAAATTCACAAGTCCATGATGATACTTAAAAAAAAGAGAGAGAAAAGAAGGCAAGAAAGCTCTTCTCTATAGAAGAATGCCAGCTGATAAAGTAGAAGTCTGAATTAGAAAAATCACCATTTCACAACCTCCACTATAACTGATTCAGGCATCACTGACAGATCTTAAAACCACTAGGTAAAAGACTGTTGAGGAACAAAATATTCCCAAGATGTCAAACTATCACTTCATAGATTATTGGCTCAGTTGCAAAAAAGGTACTATATAATAGAGAGATCTAGAGATTGCCATCTTAACCAATGCATCAAACTCAACCTCACTTAGATCAGACCACCTGACATCACAACTGATGAACCTCCTGATAGGATGCAATAGGCAGTATGTAACCTCAGCTATGACTGTTTAAATTTAACTAATTAAAATGAACAAAGTTAAAAACTCAGTCCTGTGTCACAAGCCACATTTTAAGTGCTCAGTAGCCATGGGTGGCTAGTGGCTACTGTATTAGACAGCACAGTACAGATAGTGAACATTTCTATCACCACAGAAAGTTCTGTTGGGCAGTGCTGGTCTAATCCAAATTTTCAGTTAAATGATATCTCAAAGAAATAACCAGTCAAATTCAGATCATTCTACATGCAATTAGACTACTTTCTTCAAAAAGCCAGTGTCATGGAAAACAAAAAAAGAAGAGTGGTAGGAAATTAAATTAGATTTGCAGACCAAAAAAGATACAATAACCAAATGTAATGTACAAACCCTACTTGGCTCCTGGTCTGGAAAACTAAAGAGAATTTTGGAGGGAACTGGGGAAATTTAAATATCGGGTGGATATTAAATGATATTATTAGTTTTCTCAAGTGTGATAAAGGTAGTATGATTATGTAGGAGACTTTCCTTGTTCTTAGGAGATCCACATTCAAGTATTTAGGGGAGAAATGTCATGGTGTCCACAGCATACTTTCAATGGCTCAGGAAAATGTGTGTACACACACACACACACACAGCAAATATGGTAAAATATTTACAACTATTGCATCTGGGTAGAGAGTATGTGAGTTTTCCTAGTCCATTCAGGCAGCTATAACAAAACACTGCTGACTGGGTGACTTATAAACATTAGCAATGTATTGCTCACAGTTCTGCTGGAGGCTAGAAAGTCCAAGATCAAGGCTCCAGTGTGGTCACCTTCTGGTGAGGACCCTCTCCTCATTCAGAGCCACCACCTTCTCACTACATCCTCCAATGGTAGAAGGGACTAGGGAGCTCTCTGGAGCTTCTTTTAGAAGGCATCCTATGTCATCCATTAGAGCTCCACCCTCATGACAGAAGCACCTCTCAAAGGCCCCAGCTACAAATACCATCACACTTGGGGGTTAGGATTTCAAGATATGAATTTCAGGAGGATACAAACATTCAGATCACTGCATGAATGTTCATTATAATAATTCTTTTCATTTATCTATGTACTTGAAATAAAGGCTCAGTGGGGGAAACTCCTAGAGGAAAAAAAAAGAAAGGGAAGTACTGAAGTCAACTTCTCCTGTAACCAGTATTCAGTTGGGTTAACTTGAGCAGCAGCCCTTGGCCAGCACAAATGGTGAGAAAAAAGGTCTAGCCCTCCATACTTGGCATAATTTGTGGAGCCAAAGGTTGCCCAGCGCCTTAGGGGAATGGGGTCCCAGAATCAGAGAGGGCCATGGAGAGCAGTTGCTCTGGGTCACACAGCTGAGGAGCATAAAGGTGAACTCCGTGGGGCCAGTTCTACCCTCAGTCTCTCCCCAACACACTGCCTGACCAGAACAGAGGAGCCCAGACCCCAGAAAAAGAATCCTTTAAAGAAGGAGGTAGTCCCCAAAAAGAATGACAATGACATGGATGGAGCTAGAATGTATTATACTAAACGAAGTAAGTCAGATAGAGAAAGACAAATACCATATGATTTCACTCATATGTGGAATTTAACAAATAAAACAGATGAACATATGGGGGGTGGGGGAAGAGAGAGGGAAACAAACCATAAGAGACTCTTAACAACAGAGAACAAATTGAACGGTTGATGGAGGGAGGTGGGTGGGGGATGGGCTGGATGGGTGATGGATATTAAGAAGGGCACCTGTTATGATGAGCAATGGGTGTTGCATGTAAGTGATGAATCACTGAATTCTATTCCTGAAACCAATATTGCACTGTATGTTCACTAACTAGAATTTTAATAAAATTTTTTTAAAAAGTTAACTTGATAAATGAGAAAACATAAATAAAAAAATAAAGAAGGAGGTAGTCTCTAGCGGGATCCCTAATGCTGCTCAAATTCAATCATGAAGCCAACAAATACCATACGCCAGGTCTGTGCCAGGTAGTGGCTAGTGCCTGTGCCTGTACAAGGTAATTATTTGTGTAGTATAACAAAGTACAGCTATTCCATTAATTCTTCAACTAAAACAGAAATCTGAGAAAATGCAATTTCAAGTCCCCCAATCAAAATCTGGCCACACAGAATCCACAGAGAAAATGGGCAATTAATCTTATGGATGAACAACTGAACATTAGTGACCACTGATCTGACACTAACTACTCTTACTTCCTTCTAATGTTAGCAGAAGAGACCGAGAGAGAGAGAGAGAGAGAGTACAAAACAAGATGTTACCTTCAGTTCTTGAAGCTTCTCTGTATTGGTGGTAAAATGTCCAACATGAGCTTGGACATGCTCAAACCGTTTTAAATATTCTTGGTTTCGAGTATGAGCCTTCTTTTCTGATTCACATATTTCCTTCAGGTATTTCTTTAGTTTAACATACTTCAGCTTAACTCTAGAAAAATAAAAGCAGATTTTTAAACATTGCAGTTAAGCTCTGACAAATCAAAGGAGGAGAATTTTCTTTAACAAAATTGTTAATGAGACAATATATTTGGAGATATTTTACCCAAACACTGGAAGCTAAGGGCAGAATGTACATGCATTTTTAGAGAGAAGAAATTAATGCAACATCACTGAGTATCACATCCAGGCATAACTCTCCTGAGAAATGTATACAAGACTACATTATAACATTCACACAATAAAGATTTCTTTCTCAAAATTAAATGTGATTTCAAGAGCGGTGTCTATGTGGCCATGGTCGGATGAATAGCCCATTAGCATTCTTTTTATGACAGACCATTTCAAAACTACCTGCTTAGATGGAAATAGAATCAAACTATAAACCACAATCCATAAACATTAAGAGATTCCAAAATTTAAAATATCCCAAAAGCTCTCATTCAGATAATATTAAAAATTTTAATTGGGAACTGTCAAATATATTTTTAAAATATTTTATGATATATATGGGCTGTAATTGAAACTTCAATTGTGAAAAGACCTTTAGAGACTCTCATCCAAAGTGTAAAACAAAGAGTACACTACTCTTCGCACAGAAACCAATGCTGCTCGCTCTAGCTCTGGGTGATGATGAAGATTACCCAGGGGCAGATAACAGAGGGTCTGGTAAGCTGTTGTGACAGATACTCTGCAGGCCGTCCTCACACCCTCCTGGCCCAGCTCTTCCTCTGCCAGCCACCTGGTAGCACCTGTCTCGGCTGCATCTGGTATCTTGCTTTCCCAGAGCTACTCCTCTGAGTTTGCAACATGGATGTGAGAAGGAGTTAACACCTCCTGGGGCAGCCCTGCACAATGCAGAGTTACCAGCAGGTAAATGGCTCCCCTTCCTTCCCTTGAGTGGACACTTGTGAGGAGCAGGGAGGCGGGCTACATGGCTCCCCTCAAGGTCTGGAAGGATGGAGCCCCAGGTGCCCACAGCAGTGACCAGCTCCTACTTCATTCTTCCCAGCTCTGCTCACCAGTTTTATATGACCACTTCCTAAAATAAACTACCATCTACACACAAACCCTTGTCTCAGGCTCTGCCTTCTGGAGGGGGCAGGGGGACAAGATTGAAATAGCCATGTCAGACAGTTTGGATTTTTATCCTGTTAGGAAGTCAAAGAAAGTTTATTTTTAGCAAATCATTCCCTCTGTCTTCCAGGAAACGAGAGGCTAAGTAAGAGAGGGGAACAAACTCGGCAAACTGATAGCTTGGTAAAGGTCCCCAGGAAGCCAGGAATAGGCTGCAGGTAAAGTCTCCACCCCTTCAGCCATCCCCTTAGCTGCGGGCTACAAAAATGGCAGCTGCCAGGAATGCTCTCAGACTTGGGCCCATTTCTGAGGCCATGGCATCCACAACACTGCTATTACTTGTAACATCTCACTGGCTTTTTGTCTCTTCTAGAAATACTGGGGACATATCACTGTCCACCGTGACTCGTATCCTTGGAAGTACACTGAATCCTAAAACCATCCGAGGAAACAAATGGACCCGATGGGTGGTTTGGTTTTAAAGTTTTCTCTCGATTCCGAATGACATGTTTTCATTTCTCACTCACATTATGATGTGACTAAATTACCAAATTAATGCTATCATAGCGAGAAATTTTTCATATGAATAACATTGGAGGGGTGACTGTGTGGCTCAGTCGTTAAGTATCTGCCTTCGGGGGTGCCTGGGTGGCTCAGTTGGTTAAGCAACTGCCTTCGGCTCAGGTCATGATCCTGGAGTCCCAGGATCGAGTCCCACATCGGGCTCCCGGCTCGGCGGGGAGTCTGCTTCTCCCTCTAACCCGACCCCCTCTTGCGCTCTCTCTCTCTCTAATAAATAAATTAAAAAAAAAAAAGTATCTGCCTTCGGCTCAGGTCATGCTCCCAGAGTCCTGGGATCGAGCCCCACATCGGGCTCCCTACTCAGCGGGAAGCCTGCTTCTCCCTCTCCCACTCCCCCTGTTTGTGTTCCCTCTCTCGCTGTCTCTCCCTGTGTCAAAAAATAAATAAAATCTTAAAAGAAAAAATTGGAGGCAATACCACACATTTGGCTTAAGGATGAAGTTCCGTTTCCATAAAATAGAATTAAAAATATTAAAAATCGGCTCTGCATATTAGAAGAACCCAGAAAGGATAACATGTATTTTATCCATTGCTCATAATTTTCACAGGCATTGTCAAATACCCATGAACAAATGAGACATCACATAACCCTGCCTTCAACAGCTGGTTGAAAGGCCAGCTACAGTCATTATGCCTTAATCATTACACAGGTTCAATGTGTTTAAATTGTGACCAAAAAGATAAGACTATATAATGTATCTTATTCTTCAGCTATATAGGCCAAATAGATTCCTGAAATACCACAAGTACCAAATAGTGAAAATAAAACAATTTTTATCTTACACAAATTTTAACAAAATTTATTCCTACATTTGATAGGATTATATTATATTTCAGTGTTTACTGGAAACGAGTACACACTAGACACAAGAGAACAGTCAAAGTACTGCAATTATGGTATCTGTAACATACACTAGGGTTACATTTTTATTGATTAACATTGGCCAACTGGCTTAAAAACTGTTACCACTGTCACATCTTACCTGTATACATCAGATTGATTATATTCATAAAGTTTCTTTTCCAGGTCCAGTCTCTTTTTTTCACTATAATATAGAAAGAAAATATTTTATAAATAAGTTACACTGATAATAGGCAGTTGGATTTAGAACATGATCTCTTTTGAAATTACACCTTTGTGAGAATGCTTCTCTGCTCTTTCTAAGAAGTAGAAAATGCCAGCTGTTTGAAACTCAAGACACAAAAATATTCGGTAGTCACCATGGAAATCTAAAAAGCAAAATGATACCAATATGAAGCAAAAAGAACAAGATTTTCAAAGTAAATGGTAGAAAGGCACTAAGAAAAGACTGGAAAGCAGGTTCACTCATTCAACAAGTACTTCTTGAGTGCCATGATGAACGAGGTACTGTTCTAGGCCTGAACACTAACATGGCGAACAAGCCAGCCAAGGGCTCTGCTGTCAGGCAGCTGACATTCTAGAGGGAAGGACAAGCAATAAACAAGATAAATACGTAGAATATACTATGGCCAGATTTTTCTGAGATAGTGGCAATTGAGTGATGGGGGTTCCACCAGATCAAGACAACATACTTCCACAAATCCACCCTCGACTGAAGACTGGTGGCTTGCTCTGCTCCCAGCCAGACAAGCTTGGGCAGAGCCAAGTCTCTGAAAAGTGTACCTAGCCCCATTCACATTTAATGAAGACCGAGTCCCCTAACACTATTACTTTGAATTTGGAGGAGTTTCTTTTTATCTTTGTAACATCACCATGATTTGTCACTGACTGCTACTCCCTGGAGCTACTCCCAGGAAGGACTTAGCTTGTATTGTTCAGGTGGGTGCTGGCAGTAAGCTAGAGGACAAAGCTTATCCTGCATACCTGTACACCCAAGCCTGGTAAGAGGGAAGGGAAACTAGGCAGCAAAGGAGGTAGCAACAGTCAAAATAAAAGGGCTATGGGGTAAAATCGCTGAACAGGACTAGCCATCCCAGTCCCAGAAAGAGCCCTTGGGAGGGTTTAACCACAGGGGGGTTTAACCATAGGCGTTCTGCTCCACCACCAAAGTATAACCTTCAACTGAAGCTAAATTGCTAATCTAAATTAACTAAAGCCCAAAAGAAAAATCACATAATGTCTGCAAGAAAAATGCCAGGAAAAAAAAAAAACCAAAAACTGTGAATCAAAGACAAGGAATCCAGCAGAAGGTGACCTCAGGTGGCTGGCTAAGGGAAAGGGGCTGAACCTATGTTCCATTTGGGAGCTCTTAATTGTTAGTTTCTGTTTTTCTTTAGATATGTTTTCCCTTTAAAAAAAATCCCCAAAGTTACTCTGTTAGCTACATTAGAAGTTAACTTCTTTGCTTAGCATAATCTAGAATGGAAACTACCATTTAACCAAATTCTTTTAATGGGAAAATGGGGTCCAAAATTCAAATACCAAATCTTAGCTTGGGAACACAGGGTCTATTCTTTAGTTAGGGTTTGCCTATGTTTAAAAAGGAAAAAAAGATTCCAAGGAAAAAAAATCATAGAGATGCTATTTTTTTAAGTAGTAGCACCACGCACATTTTTATTTTGTCATTAATAAGAGTGAACTTATTTTTGTGTATGGTGTAAAAAAATGGTCCAGTTTCATTCTTCTGCATGTGGCTGTCCAATTTTCCCAACACCATTTGTTGAAAAGACTGTCTTTTTCCCATTGGATAATCTTTTCTGCTTTGTCAAAGATTAGTTGACCATAGAGTTGAGGGTCCATTTCTGGGTTCTCTATTGTGTTCCATTGATCTATTTGTCTGTTTTTGTGCAAGTACCATACTGTCTTGATGACAGCTTTGTAATATAGCTTGAAGTCCAGAATTGTGATGCCCCAGCTTTGGTTTTCTTTTTCAACATTCCTCTGGCTATTCGGGATTTTTTCAGGGGTTTCATACAAATTTTAGGATTATTTGTTCCAGCTGTGTGAAAAAAGTTGATGGTATTTTGATAAGGGTTGCATTGAATGTGTAGATTGTTCTGGGTAGCACAGACATTTTAACAATATTTACTCTCCCAATCCATGAGCATGGAATGTTTTTCCATTTCTTTGTGTCTTCCTCAATTTCTTTCATAAATGTTCTATAGTTTTCAGTTTACCTCTTTGGTTAGGTTTATTCCTAGGTATCTTATGGTTCTTGGTGCAATTGTAAATGGGATCCATTCCTTAATTTCTCTTTCTTCTGTCTCATAGTGTATAGAAATGCAACTGGTTTCTGTGCATTGATTTTATATCCTTCTACTTTGCTGAATTCCTGCATGAAGTTCTTACACCATACACAAATATAAACTCAAAATGGATGAAAGACCTAAATGTGAGACAGGAATCCATCAAAATCCTAGAGGAGAACACAGCCAGCAATCTCTTTGACCTTGGTTGCAGCAACTTCTTGCTAGACACATCTCCAAAGTCAAGGGAACTAATAAAAATGTTAATCAGGGGCGCCTGGGTGGCTCAGTTGGTTAAGCGACTGCCTTCGGCTCAGGTCATGATCCTGGAGTCCCGGGATCGAGTCCCGCATCGGGCTCCCTGCTCAGCAGGGAGTCTGCTTCTCCCTCTGACCCTCCCCCCTCTCATGCTCTATCTCATTCTCTCTCTCAAATAAATAAATAAAATCTTTCAAAAAAAAAATGTTAATCAAAGTCAAAAATGAACTACTGGCACTTCATCGAGCTAAAAAAAAAAAAAAAAGCTTTGGCATAGCAAAAGAAACAGTCAACAAAACCAAAAGACAACCAACAGAATGGGAGAAGATATTTATAAATATCTTGTCAGATAAAGGGCTAGTATCCAAGATCTCTAAAGAACTTATCAAAGTCGGGCGCCTGGGTGGCTCAGTTGGTTAAGCGACTGCCTTCGGCTCAGGTCATGATCCTGGAGTCCCTGGATCGAGTCCCACATCGGGCTCCCTGCTCGGCAGGGAGCCTGCTTCTGCCTCTGGCTCTCCCCCCTCTCATGTGCTCTCTCTCATTCTCTCTCTCTCAAATAAATAAATAAAATCTTTTAAATAATAAAAAAAAAAAGAACTTATCAAAGTCAACCCAAAAAACAAAAAATCCAGTCAAGAAATGGGCAGAAGACATGAACAGACATTTCTCCAAAGAAAACATACAAATGGCCAACAGACATATGCAAAAATGCTCAACATCACTTGGTATCAGGGAAATACAAATCAAACCCACAATGAGATAACCACCTCACACAGGTCAGAATGGCTAAAATTAACAACTCGGGAAACAACAGATGTTGGCGAGGATACGGAGAAAGGGGAACCCTTTTACACTGTTGGTGGGAATGCAAGCTGGTGCGGCTACTCTGGAAAACAGTATGGAGGTTCCTCAAAAAGTTAAAAATTGAACTACCCTATGACCCAGCAATTGCACTACTAGGTATCGACCCAAAGGATACAAACATAGTGATCCAAAGAAGCACCTGCACCCCAATGTTTATACCAGCCATGTCCACAATAACCAAAATATGGAAAGGGTCCAGATGTCCATCAACAGATGAATGGGTAAAGAAGAAGTGGTATATATATACAATGGAATATTAATGGGCCATCAAAAAGAATGAAACCTCGCCATTTGCAATGACATGGATGGAACTAGGGTATTATGCTAAGAGCAAAATAAGTCAGTCAGAGAAAGACAAATACCATATGATTTCACTCGTATGTGGAATTTAAGAAAAAAAAAAAAAAAACACACAGAGGACCATAGGGGAAGGCAGGGAAAAATAAAATAAGATGAAAACAGAGGAGACAAACTGTAAGAGACTCTTAACTATAGGAAACAAACTGAGGGTTGCTGGAGGGGAGGGGTTGGGAGGATGGGGTAACTGGGTGATGGGCATTAAGGAGGACATGTGATGTAATGAGCACTGAGTATTATAAGCAACTGATGAATCACTGAACTCTACCTCTGACACTAATAATACACTATATGTTAATTTAAATAAAATAAAATTAAAAAAATAAGAGTGAACTTAGAAGAGAAGAGAAGGAAATATGGCATAATTGCTTCCATGTTAGAAATTTTTATTAGTCACTTTTGCCTCTTCTAAAATTTCATGATTAATAGGATACTTAGTTCATGAAGAATGAATGACTGGACATTGAGCTGTCATTAAATTACAAAGACAGAAAGACCGTTAAGTGTGTCTATGACCTTGTGCCCTGATGTCATGCTTCACTTCTGTGCTATTCCTGCCAAGGAAGTGTTATCAGAATCTGGTCATGAGGAACCATTAGATGGACCCAGCTTTAGGATCACCCTCTGGAATGAAAGTTGTACTCTACGAAACTGTCAGGAACACAGGACAGGGAACGACTACGGAATAGCTCCAGACTGGGGGAGACTGAAGAGACATGGCAAATGGGTACACAGATGGGATCTTGGACCAGTAATGAAAAAAGACAGTCTTAAGACACTTGGCGGGATGCCTGGGTGGCTCAGTCGGTTAAGCGGCTGCCTTCGGCCCAGGTCATGATCCCAGGGTCCTGGGATCGAGTCCCACATTGGGCTCCTTGCTCAGCAGGGAACCTACTTCTCCCTCTCTCTCCCTCTGCTTGTGCTCTGTCAAATAAATAAAATCTTTAAAAAAAAAAAAAAAAGACACTTGGCAAAATGGGCAGGTGATGAAATTTGACTGGAGTCTGTGGACTGGTATCAATCAGTGTTGATTTCCTCACTGGGAGAGTTCCAGGGTGCATCTATGTCCAGGAGCATCCTTGTTTTTGGAAACAGACACTAGAGTTTTTAGGAGTAATGGGGCATTGTATCTGTAGTTCTCAAATGGTTCAGAAAAGACTAATGATTTTAGGCAGATGGGCAGATGGACAAAAACAGAAAAAATATAATGAAATGTTAAGAGCTGGGGAATCTGGGGCACCCAGGTGGCTCAGTTGGTTAAGCTTCTGCCTTTGGCTCAGGTCATGATCCCGGGGTCCTGGGATCAAGCCCCGCGTCGGGCTCCCTGCCTAGCAGGGAGTCTGCTTCTCCCTCTCCCTCTGTATGCTCTCTCTCTCTCAGATAAATAAGTAAATAAATCTTAAAAAAAAAAAAAAAAAAAGACTTGGGGAATCTGGGTGAGGGGAATACCAGAAGTCTTTATCCTATACTTGCACTTTTCTGTAAGCTTGAATTTAATTCAAAATAATATTTTTTTTAAAGATTTTACTTATTTGACAGAGAGCAGAAGCAGAGGGAGAGAGAGGGAGAAGCAGGCTCCCTGCTGAGCAAGGAGTCTGATGTGGGACTCAATCCCAGGACCCTGGGATCATGACCCAGGCCGAAGGCAGCCGCTTAATCAACTGAGCCACCCAGGCGCCCATAATTCAAAATAATTTTTAAAATCCACTTATGACCTCTGGTGAAAAAGGTCTTTCTGGGGATCCATCACTTCCTGTACAGCAAGTGCTTTTAATCACGAACACAGAACTTCTTCGTTCTTACTCTGTCTTCAGTAGATACACACATCTGCCAGTCACAATGACCTATTACGGCACTTCACATGGTGAAAAACCACAAACATCTCCTGGCCTCCCACTGCGGACAACATGATGCTAATCTCATTAAGTCTTTAACACAGGCACTTTTCCCAACCTCCTCATCCACACTGCAGAGCTTCTGAATGCTGTCTTTCCTTTCTTTTTTAAATTTAAGACTTAAAACAAGATATTTACCCCAATAAATAGCCAGAGAAAGGTTTATGGGGAGGATTATCTTGCAACCCCTACATACTAAATCTTTATTTCAGAATCTCTGAAACACCCAGCCCTGGGATGTATACCCATAGCCCACAGTTTCCGTCACCTGCACACCTCACCTCGACCATTCAAAGGTTTACACAGATGGGTAGTCCTTAAGAGTGTAGCCACATGCTTTGCTTTTCTCCTTTTAAGCCACTTGTTATTCTGTTTTTGTCTCAATACCAACTTCAGCTTTACTCAACTAATATCTCAGAATCAATTTCTGGACTATTATGATATCTCACTCTGAATCAATAGTGGCATTGAAAAAACTGGGGCTGGTTAATGGGCCTTTTAAAGGGATGTTTTTATATAATTGTAAGAGTCAATTCCACTCACATGTTTCTACCATGCTTGTGGCACTACACACACCGTAACGAGTCACTCCAGCAGGCTCTTTAAGATTCTATGATTGATTTCACCAGAGTGCAGAGAAAACACCATACACAAAGAGGAAAAAATTAAGAATGTACATCTATGTGTGACTACAGCTGAGACAATCTGGGCTAGAAATACACCACTTACAAAGGAAAGGCCCCGTTATTAGACCAACTATATTAGACCAGCAATGAGCCAGCTCTAAGAAGGCCAGGAAAGGGCAGATTGCTTTTATTTCCCACCCCCAGGAAATTTCTGGACTGATAAAGCAGCTGTGATGACCCAGAGATGCAGCCTTTAAAATGACCCTGAAGTTTTAGAGTCTTTGTGATCACTGAGATTGGTTAAAAAACAAAACTAAACTAAACTAAACAAAAAAGCAGGTACATTCAAACATTCAAATAGGATACAAACAATGATACGCATTACTTGTTGCTTTACAAAACTACAGCTTTCAACTCTTCATTTGAAGTTCATTACTCTACTAGATAAAAAACAAATCTGTGGCCTTACCATACATATAATTCAGTGCTCCTCATTTCTGGTGAAGAACCAAGGTTCAGAGAAGCTGAACAACCTGCTCAAGGTCACACAACTGTTCGTAGAGCAGAACCTGTTTCTCTGCATCGAAGTTATATGCCTCTGTACTTACTATGCATTAGTTATGGACTTTTAAAATGAAAAATAAGGAGCGCCTGGGTGGCTCAGTCGGTTAAGCATCTGACTCTTGATCTCAGCTCAGGTCATGATCTCAGGGTAGTGAGATCAAGCCCTGTGTCAGGCTCTGTGCTCAGCAGGGAGTCTGCTTGGGATTCTCTCTCCCTCTGGCCCTCCCCCCTTCCTTTCTAAAAAAATTTAATAAAATGAAAGGTGAATACACACAGCAACAGATTTCCACCTTAAAATTTTTTTAAAGACTCCAAATGCAGAACCATGAATAGGCTATAAAATTTGACTTGAATTCCTTATATAATTTCAACAGCCTCACCTTGCTTACAGTTAAAACATTAAGTGTTAAACATAAAGTGAGTACTAATCATTACACAGTTATTATACTATAAGACTATAAGCAGCCAGGTGTTTCTAGCATAGGAAGCAAAAATGATAACTCACAATGAACCTAGTTCAGAAAGAATGCCATTTGGACCAGTAACATTTTAAAATTAGATCACGGGCTAAGAGATACAAATACCTAAAGGCCTGGGGTAGCTAAGCTACTCTTCTAACAGAACAGTGTCAAAAGCACTTTAGGCGTGCTGATGTACAGAGCAGTGTCTTGTCTTTTAATTATAAGGTATGTGCAGACACTTAATACTGTCTTTGAAATATGATACTGTTTACTTTCCCTGGTTGACTGGAAAAGCGTCATGATTTAGTGACAATGTGTGGCACCAGTGTTGTATACAAGACATTTGTAACTCCTGGACCCTGGATGGTTGGCTTTGGGATTTCTGCCATTCACTCAACAAACATTTGTCAAGCCCCTCCTCCCCTGAGGTACTCTATTACCAGCTAAAGATCCAGCTAAATACGGCTCCTGTCCTCCTGGAATTCTCTCTCTAAGCAGGGAGCAAGTCACTTAAGCCATTTATCTACAGTGCTGTAAAAATAAGAGATCACCTAAGTTAGGGAATGGGTTGATCAATACTTGCGATAGGGAAGGCACTTCAGGAAGTAATTTTTTTAAAAGTTGGAGGTGAGGAGGTGCCTGGAGTGGGTGAGTGGCAGTAGGTCAGAAAGAAAATAGGATACAGGAAAGGATTAAGGGGTAAAATATTGTGAGGACAATTAAGGAGGCCTGTTGTGGATGCTCTATAAATATCTGACAAGAATTAAATCTAGGATAAGATGAATATAATTCCTTGTCATAACCACATACTTCTGCCCTTACCTTACATGTAATTATTGTTGTCATTTTATATTTGTCACACACAAAGCTCTCCTCTTCACTGAAATGATTTTGTAACTTTTAACATTCATTAAACACTTTGTTTATCAAGAGATCCAAAAATCTATTTCCTTTCTTGTCAGCTAATGAGATTTCCAACTCCAATTAATCTAGCAGCTAAGTAGTAGTTCCAACAACTTATCTTTTATGTGGTTATTTATAGTAAATTGCTTTATAATTTTCTCTCTGTGCTCTTAGATCTAGCTGTTTTCAGAGGCTCTCGTCTTTCATGTCTTAAAGTATAGTATCATGAACCCTCTGGAAGCTGGACTTCTGTAAATTTCATCCCTTTGCTGGAAATCTGGCCAGCCCTCGTTCCCCCCAAAAATGTCTCCTGCATTTAAATAGGGCATATGTTACACACACACACACACACACACACACACACACACACACACACACACTCTCCCACCTGCGTTTCCGGACCTGTCATCATTGAGGCAGTGCAGCTGTCAGGGTGGGATGACAATTTGAAGAGAGACAGGGGAGGAGGCGTGTAGAAGGGGGTAGAGAAATTCACAAGGCGTGATTGAGAGTGACAGGCAGAAGAACTCCTACTCTCACTTCTGGGCAAATTCAGTGATGCGGCCGCATCTTCCGGCGGGAGACCTCCAGTAAGGGCGATGGGCCAGGGTATTTGGTAAATTTTGTCCTCCAGGCCCCACCGGGAGCTTGGTGGCGCGGGGGGGGAGGGGGGGTCGTGGGCGGACCCGGGCCCAGGGAAACACGGCGCGGGAAGCGGCAAGGAACCGGAGTTAGGGCACCGGTGGACCCTCGGCCGGGCCCACTCCCCGCCCCCGCCCCGGGTAGGCCGTACCTGTCCCGCAGCCGGTGCTGGAGGCGGCCCAGCCTCTCGTAGTAGTCGGGGCTCGCCAGAGGCTCTGAAGATGTGGAGGCCTGACGCATGCCGCCGCCGCGCTCGTTCCGCACCGCCAAGAGGCGGCCACCAGGATGGGGGGCAGGTTGGTTGTCCGAGACGACGGTCCCACCATGCACCGCGGGTAAACAGGGCTCGAGCCGCCATGCAGGGGGCGGGACCGAGGCCCTCGGGGGTGGGACGGGGGGCGGGGCACCGTGGATGGGCGGGGCAGACGCCGCGGAGGGGCGGGGCGGAGGGGCGGGGCGGAGGCGGGGCGTCTTGTGAGGCTGCATTGGCCGCCTCCAAGAGTGGCGGATCCTCTCCTGGTGCTGGTGGCGGGGTGTCAGGTCGTGTGGCGCTGTTCCCCGGCTTCTCCGCCCCTACTTTGGCGTCTCCCTTTCCCCTCACCCTTCAGAATTCTCACGGGAGAGACCCTGGCCCTCCCAGAGGCAAGGAGCCCCACTGAAGGCCAAGTCAGAAGCCGGTCCTGATTACGCCCCCGACACCTTGGTACAGGCTGGGGGATTGGGGGGAACGCAGCTGGACGGGAGCAATTGACTTGATCATTTTTGCCTTTGTCATCAAACTATATTAATTTTCCAAGGTTCATTCTCTACTTCTTCCTACCACCTCTACCTCCCTTTTTCCAGGATTTCTGAGAGCCAGCACTGTGCTAAACTTGTTTTCCTACCACACTTAAAAGCAAAACAAAACACCACAAAAAAGACAAAAACCAAAATACTAAGCAACTGCGCTCAGCCCTGACAGTAGAACAACCCCTTGCTTGAAAGTCCGTGCTGACCCACGGATGTGGTTAATGCTGCAAGTGACATTACTGGTTGGTGAAGAGGGAAGAGTTGCTAACTAGTTGCCTATGAAGCAGACATTTGTTTGTGCAGACGTGGCTCTGTGGGCAAAAGCCCTGCAGAATTCTTCAGCAGGGATTCTGGAGCCAGACTGCCTGGGCTCGAGCCTCCTTTTCCTCCGCCCAGCCGTGCGACTGCAGGCAAGTCACCCTCTTGATGCCCAGACTTCCTCTTGTAAAACGGGAGGCTCTTAGTGCAGGACCCACCTATGCCATTGTTATAATTACTAATTAATGTGTGTAATGTTTATAAGAGGGCCCAGCACATAGTAAGCATCAGTTTTTATCATCATCATCATCATCATCATCATCATCTTGGAGAATAAGCTTCCCGAAGAAAAACATATTCCAAAACACACAGAGCGGAAGAAAAGGAACTACAGTAGAGAGTTTCTTTGGTCTCTTATTCTTCACTTGGTTTCTTTTCTCAGCCATTAATTTAACTTATTCTTATGTGCAAGGTGTGACTTCAGGTAGCAAATTGATCATTAGTGAGATGTTACTCAGCCTGCTCTTCATATTTGCCAGGTCCAGAGCAAGAGTCCTTGGAGACCTTCATGCTATATGTTGAAGTATTAAACAATTATAACTCATGATGACAAGTTGTAGGTAAGCTATGTTCTCTCCTCCTACCTTGACCAATGTGCCTTCATAAGAACCAGGAAAGCCACCAGGGAATTTAGTTCTATGACTCTTTCCCCTACTTACCCCTCTTATTTCCCACCTCCAGCTCAGTCCTGCACTGTGAGAGGTTCCTACATGGGCAGAGATGTGTGTGTTCCCCACCCCAGTCCACAAGTGCCTGCTCTATCCTGATCCCCACCTTAGCCTCTTCTTGGCCACACATCAAGTCTAATCGTGAGCACACCAGTGATAGTCACCCTTGCAAGAATGATCCAGGAAAGAGGTCTCTACAGGCCTTGGAAAGGAACTTGGGCCCCTTTGAGCAAAGAATGTCAGCATCGTAGGTACCCCGAATGTGTTCTAGAAAGGTGTGTGTATGTGTGAGCTCCAGGCAAGTCCATACACTGGCCCTGGGACCTCTTTGCCTTGTATGGAGTAGCATGGCCAGAAAAGGGCCAGGGCGCCTGGGTGGCTCAGTTGGTTAAGCAACTGCTTTCGGCTCAGGTCATGATCCTGGAGTCCTGGGATCGAGTCCCCCATCGGGCTCCCTGCTCGGCAGGGAGCCTGCTTCTGCCTCTGACCCTCCCCCCTCTCATGTGCTCTCTCTCTCTCATTCTCTCTGTCTCAAATAAATAAATAAAATCTTTAAAAAAAAAAAAAAGGGGGCCAGAACAGGCTCTATAATATACAGAAGCTGGGGCAGGGGTCCTCTTGCCGGGGTAGTACTAATGCTATATTTCTTAGTTGTTATATCAAATCATTACACCAGATTGATTCCACAGTCATGTACAAAGGTTTATTTTGCTGATTTTAGTGCAAACTATGTTTTACCCACCACACTGGCAAAAATAATGCATATTTTTAGCATATTTTATTTAGGTTCACCCTCACCCAGATAAATTTTTTAAGGGAAAAAAAATCCCTCAATTAATATAACTACTTATTTTCAGCAAATACACAGAGTAAGCAGATGAAGCAGTCACTTAGCATCTCAAATTTTTATTAGGCCATATTAGGGGAGCCTAAACTTAAATATAAATAAACAGTAAATAGATAATTCGAAATAATTATAATTTGCATTTTATAGCTGATTTATTAATGACATATGACAAATCTACATGCAAGACCTTCTTTATTAACAATAAAACATAGCAAACTAAGTGAATATTTCTAGAGTATTTATGCTAAAATTATGCATTCTAAATGTTGACACTTTTAATAAAGGCAGTGTTCTTCACTTTGAATATTTAATTTGCCAGAGTACTGTCTTTTTTTTTTTGATTTTTCTTTTTTCTTTTTTTTTTTAATTTTATTCTTATGTTAATCCCCATACATTACATCGTTAGTTTTAGATGAAGTGTTCCATGATTCATTGTTTGTGCACAACACCCAGTGCTCCATGCAGAATGTGCCCTCCTCAATACCCACCACCAGGCTAACCCATCCTCCCACCCCCCTCCCCTCTAGAACCCTCAGTTTGTTTTTCAGAGTCTATCGTCTCTCATGGTTCGTCTACCCCTCCGATTTCCCCCGCTTCATTCTTCCCCTCCCGCTACCTTCTTCTTCTTCTTCTTTTTTTTTTTCTTAAGATATATTGCATTATTTGTTTCAGAGGTACAGATCTGAGATTCAACAGTCTTGCACAATTCACAGCACTTACCAGAGTACACACCCTCCCCAGTGTCCATCACCCAGTCACCCCATCCCTCCCACCCCACCCCCCACTCCAACAACACTCAGTTTGTTTCCTGCGATTAAGAATTCCTCATATCAGTGAGATCATATGATACATGTCTTTCTCTGTTTGACTTATTTCACAGAGTACTGTCTTTTAATATTGTTCCTAAATCCCTTTATATTAGCAGAACTGATTTCTATAAGCAGCTCTGTTTTTACTTACCTGGACTACAGGCCAGCAAGTCTGCCTGGATCGGCAAGGCTTCCTATAAGCTACAGTATGTCTTAGGTGGAAATTACAGAGAATCTAGTCACCGCTTTATTTTTTAGAGGAAGAAAAGGATTCGGGTTAGGTAAGGGACTTGGCCAAGGTCACACAGCTGGCAATCTGGGTGATATCAGTGAATTTAGTTCTAAATATGGGTCTCCAGGAGCCCCACTAAACAAACAGTAAAAGAAAGCCAGTGTTTTATCCCTATAGTCATGATCCTAGGGTGACTCATATGAAGCTGCTGCTTTTGTAAGCTCGAAAAACAGACTGATGAATGGAAAATTGGTTTTGGAAATATGTTGGAATTGGAATTCTACAATTTAAATTTTACACTTTTAAATGCCATTTAAAAAATGAATCCTGTATATTTGAGTCAAAACTGCTTGGATATTATGTTTGTTTGCTAGAGCTGCCATAATAAAGTACCCCACACGGGGTGGCTTAAACAACAAAAATTTATTGTGTCACAGTTCTGGAAGCTGTAAGTCTGAGATCAAGGTGTTGGCAGGACTGGCTCCGTTTGAGGGTCATGAGGAAGAATCTGTTTCATGCCTCTCTTCTAGCTTCTGGTGGTTTGTTGGCAATCCTTACCATTCCTTGGCTCATAGATGCATCATCCTGATCTCTTCCTTCATTTTCCCATGGTGTTCTCCCTGTGTGCATGCATGTCTCCAAATGTCTCCATTTATAAGGACACGAGTCATATTGGATTAGGAGCCCACCGTCCTCCAGTATGACTTTATCTTAACTAATTATCATATCTGCAATGACCCTAGTTCCAAATGAGGTCACATTCTGAGGTATTGGGAATTAGGACTTCAATATTTGAATTTGGGCGGGGAGGGGTGCACAACTAAACCTACAACAAACACAAACATGGAAAAATATTTCATTTTGCGATCACTCTACAGAAATATTAGACATTGCATCCTATGTTATTAGAAAATTCAGTTTGTACATAATAAAAAAAAGAAAATTCAGTTTGTAAGAAAAGAGGACCCAAAAGTAAAAGGTAGGAGGAAAAAGAAAAGAAAAGAAAAGAAAAGGTAGGAGAAAAGGTTGTCACATGTATGTGTGTATGTAACCCCTCCTGTCACTGAGCATTGACACTGGTGTAAGTATTTGTTGCCTCATTTAAATCCCATGACGGTCCTTTGAGGGCAATGTGAGTTTAAGCAACTGGCCTAAGATTATGCTGCCAGTGTATTCTTGACCAAGTAGCAGTAGGGCTAGAATTCAGACACAGACCTTTTCCAATTCCAAAGCCCTTCCTTTCCTAACTGCCATTCTATATGGCCTTAAAATTCACCATTTGCTATTCATCAATACCTACTGATATTTCTATTTTCCTGTATGAGATGTGTAAAATATAATGTATGCAGGAAGGTTTTTACATTTACATGTGTCATTGTTTGGGGGAATAGTATTCACTGCAGAATGCATTTTTCTACATGCTATGATACAGCACTATGCGTTCATCATTCTGTTCATTTTTCTCTTTGGCACTTCATTTCTCATCCTTTCTAGCAGTTAGATGGGTCTATATGGCCCAGTCTGGCCAATGAAATGTGAATGGAAGTGATGCAGCCACTTCTTGGCATGGCCTTCAAATGTCCTATAATTTTTCCCCACTTTCCATTTGTTGACCCATTATGTGCAGAGATTCCAATGGAGAACTCTGTGGCTCTGGAAGAAGATAGAATGACTGCAAAGAGCAGAGGATGTGACTTGTGCAAGAAAT